GAGTTACGAGTTTTTGAAGGTCTCCAGTTGCCTTGTTTTCTCATGATTCTTGTGTTTTTGTGTTGAAGTTTACCGATCGGTTGCGATAGAAATATCTCCACACTTTTGTGTGGAGATATCTTCAATTAACAGCCTTATCCCTGTGATGTGAGCTTTGCTTTGGGTTTGCTCAAGCATGAAAGCAGCCACTCAACCATTCAAAGTACTAGGTTCAATCTCCAGCACAGCACTGTAGGAACAACTACTAGCAATATCAACATCTAAAGAAACAACCATATATTAACATATAATTTAAAACTTGTTTAAAAAGTTCTTGACTATTTCAAGAGAAAGAGGGGTTTCAATGATAATAATTACATAACAAGAAAGAAGGGGGAAAAGAAAGATTTGAGAAGTCATGTAAGGTCAAGAAAAGATGACTAGAGAAGACAATATAAATGCAAAGTGAGAGAATGTACAGAAGACTGATCCAATTAAGAAACAAGCAGAAACAAGTCCCAAGAAACTACCCTAGGTGGGAAACAATATGAAAAACAAGGTAAGACACTACAGATGCAAAAGCAATAATTAATTCTGATACATAGTTACATATACACACAGACACACAAAGGGGAAAAAAATAGACCTTAATGATATTATTTATATACAAGGAGGGAGAAGGGAGATTTCAGAAGGCATGAAAGTGCAAAGAAAGGAAGCAAGAAGAGATGTGGTGCGAATACACATGGAGTGAGAAAAGACACATGAAGATTGAATCCAATTAATTAATGAAGTAACTGAAACAAGTTTACCAAACCCAATGAAACAATCTTTGTTGTGAGAGAACATATGAAACAACACAGTGAGACACTATGGAGACAAAATAAGTAGCAATTGTAAACTCACACATGCATACACATATGCCCTTCCTCTTCCTCACACATACAAAAAGAAGCAACAACAAAAATGAAACACCAACAAAAGAAAAGGGGAAACAAAAGTAAGGTCTGTGGTATTTATACTGTAGTGTAATCCAATCAATTCTTGGATTCTTGGATGCTTCCTGATAAAATGTGGGTGGGAAAATCTTTATTCTATGTTTTAGTCTGGAGTTTGCTTCTGCTTCCGTTCACAAAGGAGAGGGCCTTTTGACCTGGCAGATGGCTGAGCTCTACCTCATTGTAGATGTGGATGACTACTCAGGTCTGCTAGTGGTGGGACTGGCTCAAACCTACCAATTTAGTCTCTTCCATACCTAGGAAAGAGTGCACTGGAAAATCCAGACCAAATCTGTACTTCAGTGATCTGTGGGAAAGTCAGAAGCTCCATAAATTTCCAGGCTGTCTTTAGGAGATGCAGCTGGCCAGATCTGTGTGCTGCTGCATTTACTCTAACTGCCTCTGAACAGATATGAAAGCGATAGGCACACAGGGTCTGTCTTTACACTACCTCATGTGCTCAGCCTTCTACTGGTCTTAGCAGTGGTGCCCAGACTCATGCAGTCTCTCACCACAAAACTCCATGTAGCTGAACTTGTTGCCACCCGCTATTTTCAAACTGCCACTGTTTTACATTACCCATCTTCATCACAAGATTCTTCCAGTCAGAGTTTGTCCTCCAGCAAGCCAGGGGCTGTGGATTTTTTTACCTAATCTCATGATTTTAGTTTTATCATGTCACAGCCACTTTTTTCTGGAACCAAGCTGTCAGGGTGGACATTTACTTCCTCTTTGAGTTATAGAAAACGTGGGGATATTCTGAGCCTGTGTTTTGGATTTGTATTGTAGGTTGATTTGCATGCAGGCTGCTTCCACCCTATCATCTTCTGACTATGCTAGGGTTTGTTTCTGAAGATCTATATTTTGCTGGATATAAAATTCTAAACTGATAATTTCTTTCTTTCAATACTGCTTAAGATGTAGTTCTATTGTGTTCTGGAAAGGATTGTTCCTATGGAAAAAAATTTGCTACTATTTTTAACTTTGATTCTCTGTATATAATGCCTCATTCCAATCCCATGTTGTTCTTAAAATGCTTTCTATCACTAGTTTTATGCAACTTTAAAGTTTGCATTTTTGTAATTTTCTTCATGTTTCTTCTTCCTGAGTAAATTAAATTTTAGAACTGCTAGTTTTATAGTTTTTATCAAGTTTGGAAAACTCTGGTTATTATTTCTTCAAATATATTTTGTCCACCTTCCCCTTTTGAGGATTCAATGCTCATTATCAGTCTGCCAGACATTGTACCACAGACCACTGTTCATTTTTCCAGTCTTTCACAATACACAGTTTCTATAACAATATCCTCAAAGTTCATTAATCTTTTCTCCTGCAATATCAATTTTTGGTACTCACATAGGAGTATGTTTTTACCTTACTCATTTTAATTTTTTTATCCCTAGAGTGAACATGTTCATCTTTTCATCTACCTTTTTGAGTATATGAAGTTGGTATATTTGTCTCAATATCCTTGATACTAACTCTATCACCTTTGTCATTTCTGAATCTGTTGCTATTTGCATTTTCTCATTACTGGCCATATTTTATTACTTTTTTCATACTTCATAAAATTCAGCTTGGGTGCTACATATAATGAAATTTGTATTGAGTTGTTATTACATTCTTTTAAATGTTTTTGAAGCATTTTTCTGGGAAGCAGTTACATACCTGGAAATAGTTTGACCTTTTCAGGGTTTGCTTTAAACTTTCTTAGGCTGGATTAGGCCAGTTTTTGCTATAGGGATAATGTGATGCCACTAATTTCTGAGTACTCTTCTCTTCATACTTGGCACATTACAAGATTTCTCCATTCTTTGAGAATGTGAACTATTTCCAGTCCTGTGTATGCTATGGGAATTGTTCTACTTATTCTTCCTTTCCAGTGGATCTTTTCCAGTCCTCATACCCATGCACTAACCAGTAGTCAGCTGAAGACTCAGTGACAGGTCTTCAACAGAATTCTAAACCTGTTTCTAAGCAACCATTTGCTCTCTGGTGTCCTGCCTTATAGGATACAGATGTCTTGGCTTCCCGAATTTTCCAGACTGGTCAACTCAGGGAGAATGCTAGGCTTCCATTTAGGTTCTCCTTTTAGGTAATGAGACCTGGAAAAATCTGTCCAGGCCATCAGCAAAGGTAGCTGAAGGGTTCTCCCTGCTCATTTCCCTTCTCTAAGGAATCTTGTTTTAATACTGCTTGCTGTATAACTGCTGAAAACTATTGTTTCATATACTGTTTGGTTTCTTTAGTCCTTGTGACTCAGTAATGCCTCAAGTTAAGATCATTATTTAAATTTATAAAAAGCAAATCCTAAAAACTCTATTTAAAAAAAATTGCTTTAATTTCTATAGGCGAAAACTCCCACAGAAATAATAAGAACTCTTTATTTTTAAAAAGGTTTCTTTTTAGTTTGAAGATCTTGATTAGGGAGAAACAAATAGTGTGCAGCTATGAGTTTCCTTTGGAGCCTGCTAATTATGCTTAATACACAAGCATTTGCAAAGTATTCAAAGTATTGCTGCTTACTCAATGCAGTCAGTGATTTGAGCAACTGAATGTACCAATATGACAGCATAGCCCACTTTATCTTAAAATAAACAGGCAGGCAAAACCACTTACACATTTCCTAGAAGCAGCATTATTCACTGAATTGGAAACAATGTACATACCTGATACTCAAATTATAGTTACCAATTATCATTTTACACCAAAAAAAGTGATAGCTACATAGCAAAATGTCTTTTTCTTAGTTAAGAACATACACGAATAAGTGTATTTTGTTGTATCAAATAGCAAGGAAGCTATCTAAGAATACACAGTTACCATCAAATAATTCAGGAACTAACTAGAGCTTCACTGACAGAAGACAGGACAATCTGAAAAGCAATAAGGATAATAACTTTAATGCACTGAAGTAAACCAAATATGTTTAACTCACTGATCACACAGTGAAACTAAAATAAGGGTAAATTGTTCATCACTAAAACCACAAAATAATAATTTCTTTAGAGTGAATGCAGGTTATCTCTTATTGAAAATGCTTGGAACCAGAAATGTTGTCAGATTTCCAAGTTGTTTAGATTCTGGAATATTTGCATATATGGGCATACCTAATTTGAAAATTCAGTATCCTCCAAAATCTTTTCAGTTATGCCTAAAAAGTTTCAGGTTTTGGAGTATGTCATATTTCAGATCTTCAGATTAGGGTTTTTCAACCTATACTAAAATAATGAGACAAAATCAAGAATTTATTCTGCCTTTCCTATATAAACTACATTACTAGATAACCAAATAGTATCTAAAAGGAAATTTCTCTTTACTAAAGTGTCCATGCTATAAAAAAAGAATGATAGCATATCCCTATTTTGCACATGAGCATTACTAAGAGTTGGCACAAGAGGATTCATTTGATAGAAAGCATCAGCATCACCTGCATCATCTATGAAGTAGTTTTGCTGAAAACAAAACTCGACCTGAATTTTATCAAACTGTAGTAAACTATCCATTTCATAGGCAAAAAAAAAAAATGATGAAATTGATGAAAACAATGAATGCAGACAGAAAAATCCAGCATTTGGGAGATGCGATTTTCAATAAATATAAACCCAAAAGGAACAGTAAGATAAGAAAGGGAAACAAGAAGTAAGAGGAGAGGCCTACAGATCTGAAAAGATTTAAAAGACCTATCAATCACAATCCTTATTTGGACTTTATAGGAAGCATACTATCATCAGCATAATAGAAATAATAGAGAATTAGCTTGTAAATACATAGAATTTCTCTGGAAGAACACATGAGAAACTGGTAACATGATACCCAGAAAGGAATTAAATGACCACTATGTGAGGGGTGGAAGAAGATTTTGACTCTTTCAAACTATATGAACATATCATTAATGTGAAAAAAAATACATTGTTTAAGTGCAATTACACAGGTTCCTAAACTAAATTAGTAAGTTCTTAGAGCTGCTGCTTTGAATTAAAGAATGACAATAACTTTTATTATCAAAAATAAACTTGTTACCTCATCATATGTATATCTATAGTCAGCTTTCTTTGATTTGAGGTCCCATAAAACCACTGTTCCAGATTCAAAGCCAATCAAAAGCTGTAATAAAAGAAAGATGCACATTACCTAAGAATGATATCTATTATACAAAACATTTATTTGCTGATAACTGTAACTATTACCCATATCCTTCCAGCATAAAATTATAATTAAACATCTCCACTGTTAATTACTAATCGCATAAATGACAAACAAGAATGTGTATGCACTGCATATTTATATGCCTTTAATAATTAGGGACTCAAAATATAACTGATATTTGAAAAAGAATACAGTACTATCTTGATGTCTGAAGTATACATCTTCACTAATATAGTTTAACAAAGTACTATTAAAAACTAATTTGTGGGCTGGAGATTTAGCTCAGTGCAAGCACAAGGTCCCGAGTTCGATCCCTGGTACCACAAAAAAAAAAAAAAACTAATTTGTATGTGCTTTAGCAATTAAAAATTTTCCAAATTCTACACATTATCAAACTCCATCTATATATTAATTAGTTATAAATCATTCCCAGCCTAGATCTCTTCATGAGATACATAATTTCAGTGATCACATCAGCAGTTATTTACATTAGAACCTAAACGTAGATATGTCCAAAAGTAGATATATCCAAAAGTAGATATGTCCAAAAGTGAATTAGTTATACTCTTCTCTACCCTATTTTTCTGGCATTCCTGGTTATAGTATGTCTCTTATCACTGTTCTTCCAGAAACCTAAGGGTCAACCTTAACTCTAGTTTCTCCAAAAGACAAAAATCACCATGTAAATTTAAGATTTCATTCTACTATCTAATTTATGTCCCTTCCTTACTAGTACCTCCAATCCTAGTTCAAGAGACAAAGATCTCTTTTCTGATCTCCCTAACTCCAGTCTTCCTCCTATTTTAACGCCTTCTATATTGTAGCTAGAGTAATTCTGAAATACAAACCCGATGAGGTTATTATATGCTTCTATTTAAAACTCTTTAAGGCATTGACATTATTTTCAGGACAAAGTCCAAATTTGGTAACATGACTTGAATAGAACGCTAAGATTAAAACAGTGCTCTAAGAAGATTCATCTAGAAATGATGCAAGAAAGGGCAGGGGCTAGTTATGTGTCTCAGTGAAAGAATGTTTGCCTAGCATGTCTGAGGACTTAGGTTCAATCCCCAGTACCACAAAAACAAACAAACAAAAAAATCTAGGCAAATCTTAGTACAGTGAAGCAAGCCTATAATCCCACTTGCTTGGGAGGCTGAGGCAAGAGGATCACAAGTTTGAGGCCAGCAGGGAAGACGTAGAGAAGTCTGTCTTAAAATAAAGAATAAAAAAGGCTAGAGATGTAGTTAAGTGGCAGAGCACACCTGGGTTAGATTCCTAGTACTGGAAAAAGAAAAAAATGGGCTGGAATGCCTTGAACATTCAGTGGCATTATGAATCTGAATACAAAAGAGATACAGTACTACAAAGGAAGGAATTCTTCCATTAATGATTCAAAATGGAAGGAAAGTTTGTAATTCTTTCACCATGCCTCCCACCCAAAGGCTTGGCTTTCAAACAAGTATCTTGTATAAAAGAACATAAAATAAGGATCCAAGTTAAAGTACACTAGCTTTATATATAGTTTCTATCAAAACATACAATTCTATGATTATGTTTCTAACTCAAAACAGTTATCCTTTTGTTTTCCCAGCAGCAGTGAAAAACAGTGTTGAATAATTTACAGACTTCACCTCACCCACTAACTGAGGAAAGCGATAACCTGTGTAAACTCCTTCACAAAATGCAGACGTTTTAATTCATTGACTTCTGACAGCAATAAACTTCCTAGTATTTACTTAGGTCAACAGCATAAAGTTTATAGACTGAAAAATAGAATTATTAAATAGAACTACCTGGAAGATTATTTTCAATTAGGAAATAAAGATTCATTGACGAGAAAAATTTATTATATTTTTAATGTATTAACTACCCTAAATTTAACAGTACACAGATACTGACTGTATGAACTGGTTTCAGAGTACAAAAAATTAAATAACATTTCAAAAAAATCTCTAGATTATTAACTATTTATAAAGAACATTTTTTTTTTTTTGGTACCGGGGATCGAACTCGGGTCCTTGTGCTTGCGAGGCAGGCGGCAGAACCACTGAGCTAAATCCCCGGCCCTATAAAGAACATTTTAAGGAAGATGAGACATATAATATAAGGCAACACATGATAAGAGCTATAAAAACTGAATAGCTAATTCAATTTAAAAGGATCCCAAACCAAAAGAAAACTTGTTTGTTTCATCAGAAAGGGAAAGTACTGTGAGTAGTCCAATAGAAAGTAGTAACTTAAGGCCGAGGATTTGGCACAGCAGTTCCGCCGCCTGCCTCACAAGTGCAAGGTCCCGAGTTCTATCCCCGGTATCAAAAAATAAAAAGAAAGTAGTAGCTTATATTTATTAAATTTTATGTATGTTTTAGTATATTTTTGTCCTTTCAAATTACAAATCATCCTTTCCCTTGCTCTTCACAATAAAGTCATTAAGAATATATGATATACAATTACATAATAGCAATCTCAACATTTCAGCATAAGTGTGTTCCTATAGTTGCATATTTAAAAATGCAAAAGATCATTCATTTAAGTAATAAAGACATTCTACCTTTCCCTCATCCATTGGATTATCACTTATATGGACAACCGGTCCTGGGTGAGATTTAGATGACCTAAAAGAGATAAAAGTCAATACTTTTTTCTAATTAAAAATCTCAATATGACTACACAGTCATTAAAATAAGAATAAAAATAAATATTTCATTTTCCTTGCTTTTAGATTTATTTTTATTTTATTTATTTAAAAAAGAAAGCATCTCAGTATGTAATCAATAATATATAGTTCTTAATATGGGTCAAAACAGGAACAAGGAAAAAGCGGTAAATGACTCTCACATTGATACATATCAACAAATTTTAACAACTATACTTTCTATGTAGAAAAGAATCTTCCATTTAGTCAAAGCAATCAATGCAGAAAATCTAATTGCAATGTAGAATTCATTAATGCAGTCATTTAAAATATCATTATCGGGCCAGGGTTTTAGCTCAGGGGTTCCGCTGCCTGCCTCGCAAGCACAAGGTCCCAAGTTCGATCCCGGTATCAAAAAAAATAAAAAAATGTATCGTTATCTTATTTTACTAGTCACCAATTCAGACATTCCATCAGGTTCCAAGTAGGAAATATTCAATTACATTTTTTAAAAAATCAACAAAGTAATGTTGCCTATACCTTCTTAGAGAAAAAGAATTTACACACATAAGAATATGGCCAAAATGATGCAAATACAGTGAGATAAAGTATATCCTTATTCATAAACTCTGAAGGTGGAAAATCCACTCCACTTCATGAGTCTGTGAAGCTACAAACACCTGCACCCGGCTTTAACCATTAGATGTCGTGATCAACTCAAAATCCGGACTCTGACAGCTCACACTCCCAAGGAAGTGAGTTATGACAATAATGTCCCTTCCACAGAAAAGAAAACCAGTAAAAATACACTACTACAAGTACACCAACACTCTACCTAAGTTATATGTCAAAAAATTATCCTTCTGTCAAAGGTATAAATACTGCAGAATGCAATACAAGACTGTTTGTTTTAAAACAAAAGAAACATTAAAATGGGATCTTGCCAATATCCTTAAGCTTTAATTTTTATGTCCAAAAAATTGTAAGAAAAAAATTGTAGAAAGAGGTTAAATACAACAAATTTTTGAGTGAAAAGTTAGCATTAAAAATCCTCAGGGCCTTACAGCTCCACTCAGTTTTTGTTATCAATATTAGTAATTAAAAACAATCATCACTGAAACAAAATTAAGTAAATTTAACCTTAAAATTACTTCCATAACATGTTAACTTTAGCAAATATCTACATCTATTTGTTGATTATTAAATTCCATCAAGAAGTAGTTTACATCAGTTGTTTTCTAAACACTGGAGGCAAACTTTTGTGTATCATGACCAATATTTAAAAGAAAAATTAGAATATTAAAGAATAGAAAAAAATTAGAGTATTTTCTTCACCTATTAAGAATAATGACTACTTTATATCTTGATTTACAGTTTATACATATATGAATAAATGCATTATAATTTTTATACATAAAGCATTTGCAAACAAGCCAATAGAATACTTAACTAAAGACTAATAAATCTGTATTAAATATAAAGATTGTCTAACACATTTAATTCAATATGGTTGGCTACTATATGATATTATCATATATGGTCCTGATGGTTTTAGATATGGAATTTGCTCAAACTCACAGTTCAATGGCTTTATTCCACATAATGACGTAGCCTGAGAGTGTGAAGGACTCCACATTGACAATATGTATATTACCTCGTTCAGTGCCTACATAGAGCCACTTACTCTGGAAAGGCAGATGGCAAAATGTAACCCTACAAGAGAAAATACATCCAAAAGGAAATTAGAAAAACATCTGGTAAATTTTATTGGCTGCATTAGAAGATGAATTATAATATGTATAATTGAGAAAAAACAAAAAGAACCGTTTACTCATTATGATTAATATTTAATTATGCTAACTCAACTTATACGTCTAACATAAGCCATTCAGTTAATAGCATGGCATAACAAAAGAAAATGAGTTTTGAGGTTAGAATGTGTTTCAATTCTGGCTATGCCATCCACTGTGTAACCCTGGGCATATCACAAATTTAATCCTTTAAACCACAAGCTGTAACTCCGAGGCAATTACTTAAGCTTTATAGATTTCTATTTTTGTTGAGTATTTTATATAATGATGTATGTCCTCTTTCTAAAGGATTTACGTAAATTTAACAAAGTATAGACATGCTTAATGAGTCAATGAAATCATGCTGTAGTACAGACTAAGTATCCCATCTAAAAATGCTTGGGACTAGAAATGTTTTGGGTTTAGATTTTTTCCAGATTTTGAATAGCTGCACATATGTAAGATATCTTGGGAATGGAACCTAAGTCTAAACACAAACTCCGTTTATGTTTCCTACATAATTCATACATATAGTGAGAAGGTAATATTATACAATTTTTTTAGTGTACCTGCATTTTAACTGCAACGTGTCACATAAAGGCAGGTATGAAATTTTTCCACTTGTAGTATCACATGGACAATTCAAATTTTCAGATTTTGGGGCATTTCAGATTTCAGATTTTTGGACTATGGCTGCTCAACCTATACCTTGTTACCTCAAGACAGAAGTGCTTATGACCTTGTCTGAAAACTTGAAAGCCACACGTTACCAAATTTAGAACTTTCAGATTTGAGAAAAGAACATAATGTATATTTATGCATATGTGTATAATATAGAAATAGCATCCCATAAAACACACTAAATATTTTTCATAATTTCTGACAGCTTATAAAGTTAAGCATGTACTGACAGTGTAATTGAGCAATCCATTAAAAGTATTATGTCCATACAACACTTGTACACAAATGTTCATAGTAGTTTTGTATAGCCCAAACTGGAAACAACTCAAATATCCTTTAAGAGCTAAGTAAGATGAACTGTGGTATTAAGTTAAAATAAAAAACTACTCAGCAGAAATAATATAAACAAATGAAACTATTAATATATGCAACTACACTGATGAATTCCAAAATCTTTATGAGTGAAACAAGTCAGACAAAAGGAAGACACACTGCATGATTCCATTTATATACATTTTACAAGCCATAAAAGATGTAATGGAAAGTAGATTCATGGTTGCCTGGAAAGTGCTGGGATCCAGATGGGGTTGGGGTGGGAGCACCACAAGAAAGCAGAGGGATTTTCACTGGTTAACTTTTTAAGAAGAGGAGTAAATGCATTATCTTGATTGTGGAAATGGTTCATGGTTGTGTCTGTATGTCAAAGCTTACCAACTTAGCAATTTTTCTCAGAGATTTGTGGACTTAGAAATTATGAAAATAGACTGTGGTTATGATTAATATATAGGCATAAGCTCTGAAGCTGGACTGCCTGGATTCAATGTCCAGGATTTTCATTCACTAGTATCTGACCCTAAGTAAACTATCTGACCTCTCAGAGCAAGACTTTCTAAGTAGTAAAGCACATCTACTTCATCGTGTCTATATGAGGATCAATAAGACAAAGTATGTTAAATGTTTAAAATGGAGCCTGACATTAAGTGTTTGGTAAATGTTAGTGAAATATTAAAAATGAAAGATATTCTACCAATCAGAAACTGTATGCAAAATTTAACTAGGTCAAATAAATGAAATCAACAACATGCTAGTTATAAAATGAATGCAACAAATATCATAAAAACAGCTGACACGTTTGAAATGTGCTTTAAAACATACTAAACCTTTTGAAAATTTGTATTTCAAATAATTAAGTTGAAATAACACATTGACAAAAAAATCAGAAAACTCAACTTCCCCAACTTTTCCGCTCTTTCTAATTCTCCACTCCACTATTCTAACTCTACAAAAGCTACTGATTTGATATAACCTATCTTTAATTTTAATAAAACTACTTAAATATATGCTTATAAAATTTAAATTTTTTTCCTTATTAAAAGAAGGAAGTATTCAATGTTCAGAAATAAAGTCTAGAACTTTTGCATAAACTTGCTTTGTCAATACTAGCTACCATCCTAAGATTTTTCTCAGTCAACTGTAAAACCAACATACACTCCTGGGATTTTCAAGCATCTTTGTTTTCCATAAATGAGAAGAACAAACTATGTAGTATGTATGTAATCCTGTAAACAAGAATTTAAATATTCACTAAATATTTTGGCACTGAGACTTAAGAAGGTCCCTATCATGAGCTTTAAATAGCTCATGATATTTTAAAAAATACAAGTCATAGAAATGTATTTGTATAAAGCACACGAAATTTTAAAACTACTCAGTTCCATAACTGCCCTCATTATTTAAATAAATTGGGGAGGGGGGTGGCACAGCATGTTTTGGTTTTTTTAATTACCATTAACTCAAGAATTTCTCAACCAGCATTTTTCTGACTTTGAATGTGTTGTTTATTGGAAGAGTGAAAAACTAAAATTATGGTTTTAACCAAATAAAGTAATTCATGGCAGTGATTAACTAGAGAAAGGCAGTAAGAAAGGTTGTTCCCCAAAACATATTACTAAGAAAGTAACTCAATCAATATGTCCTACCAAGAATTTTAAGACTCTAAATTATGGGCAATTTCATCAGTCAGTTACCAAAATATAAAACTAGTGGTTGAGACAAACTGGATTTAACTATATTTAACAGTGTTCTTTCAATTTGATATATACATGACCTCATTTCCTAATTTACAAAACAAAAGTCTTAGTCTTCTTTATAGAGGTTTTAAAGGATAAAATAGTTAAAGAGTAACTAAGCTTTTATATAATAATAAATGAAAAATATATTGATTACTTAAAAGAAGTAACATGTATATATATATATTTGTGTGCGTATATATATATATATATATATACATACACACACACACACACACACAGGGGATTTTGTTGTCTGATAACTCTAAGAAAATAATTTACAACAGAAATCTTAACTTTTTTTTTTAGTACAAGTCATGAAACGAATGGTACTGAGTAATAGTCTTGGGACAAATATTTCAAACTTAGAATATTTTAAATCAACAAGCGTGAAAAATACATGGATGCTAAGATGAAGACATGTGCTTGCATTCACCAACGGATCATTAGCAACTGTGCCAAAGGCAGAGATTAGGAAAGCACTGGCACATCGGGGCTTGCCCTCTTTCTTAATGCATGTGGAAACCACCCAGGTGTCATGTGATGAATCCCACAGTAGTCAGTTGGAGACTGTGGCCAAGCACATAGCCAGAACCAATAACCAGACATATGAGAAAGGCAAATTACATCACCCAACCCAGGTAACCAGTGAGACAACTGCAGTTGTGTAAGTGTCTACAAGGGAAGATCACCCTTGCTAAGATAGACTTAAGTCTCGACAGTGCCAGGAATCACCAGCCTGAAACACTGAACTATCATAGGTTAAAATCAAATTCATGATTATTATTTTTCTCATATCTTCATTATAAAGGGTTTTTAGATCTTAAGGTATCTTGATAATTAATGATGATAATAACAAATAAATGACTAGTTTTTTTGTTTTTTGTGACTCTGGTTTTTAATAATACCAGGAGACCAAGTTAATTTCTTTATGTGCTGGCTTCTATTATTAAAGCATAAAGTTATAATGAAAACAATAACATTTACTAATATATGCAGTTAAGACACACATGAAAAACATTAAAATTCAGTAAATACTTTAATAAATTTATATATTTTGATATTATAAGAATACCATATTAAATTGAGCCTGAAAAGTTACCTTAAAATGGCTAAATTTAACCAGCTGAAAAAAGGGAGCCTGGCTGAAACAAACTGATTAGAAATACAGTACAGACAAAAAAATAGAATTCCTTCAGTATGCCACTAAGTAAACTTGAATTCTAAAGCCCTGTTCTTGATTTAAACATATCTTATACATAGTATTACTAAGAACATGATAATTCCTATGTCTGATTAAGGGACTTAAAATATATATAAATGTTTGGTATTAGGCAGTAATACATATATCCTATTCACTATTTAAAGTTAGCAAGGCTATCAACTATTACATAGTTAGGTGCCAAATTTGGAAGATTTTACTATTACCAACTTTTCTTTGACAGAAGAACATGTATGGCTTCCTAAGATGAAATTAGTTATTCATAAATATAAGCATAAAGGTAATTATTAAGATGATTAGTTTAACTCATATAAAGGAATATGAACCTGTAAATTCATCTACATGCCTATAATACAATTAGATTAACCCAAGATTAACAGGAAATATGTCATCATGTCTATATTCTCAGCAATTATCACAGTATCTCACACCTAACAAGTATTCAATAAGTATTTGTTAAATGAACAAATATATTAAAAATTCAGACTTACTAAGTTAATTAATACAACAATCAGATGTTCCTGACTTATTCCTTCTCTATCCATTCTCATAGCCTGGGCCTAATTTAAGCCATCACCACTGATTATCAAACTCATTCCAAGCCAACCCAAGAGTTATCTTTTCAAAAGCAAGAGAGATTACATCATTATCTTCTTGAAATAATGGCTTCCTACCTTCCATTATACTGCTCCTTAAGCAATATTTAGCGGCATTTTGTAGTAGATGTGCTTGGGAAAAGAACGTAGAGATACAGTGTGCTGGATTTATTCGGTTGCTACTCAGCATCGATTTCCCCATTCCCCGTATGTCTCTGGAAAGCTAAAATGGATATTTCCCAGATTCTCCTTCAGTAAGGATCTAGATGACATGTTTTCTATTAATTGGATATGCTTAAGATTAGGAAGAGTGAGGCAGGAACTATCTTTATGTTGTCATTTCTATGAACAAGAT